GCACCTCTACATTCCCCACCCAGCCAGCACTACACCATTGTTTTCAACACCTTCGTACTGATGCAGCTCTTCAATGAAATCAACTCACGCAAGATCCACGGGGAGAGGAATGTCTTTGCAGGCATCTTCCGCAACCTCATCTTCTGTTCTGTGGTCTTGGGCACATTCATCAGCCAGGTGAGATTCTAGCTGGAGTTGGGGTAGCAGGTCTGGGGTGACACAGACCAGAAGCTGGGAGCCAGGATTTTCTAAGTACCCAGAAATAGGTATGAGGGAGCAATGGGGACTCGGGCTGTAGGGTGAGCACTTTTGGGTTCCCAATTGGCTTCCATTTGCACGTGGCTCTGTAATTGGAGCCCACTGTGTCAGGTGCTCCAGTACAAAGCATCAGTTATTTTTTTCCTTGTCTTTGCCGGTGAGCCGAGGGTGGGAATGGGAATGAGGCAGAAGTGAGGTTTATTTGTTGGCAGCAAATAAAATAAGACTTGTAGTATCATTTCATTATCTTTTGAAAACCCAGAAAGTTCACAAAGTGACCAAGAGGAGCTCTCTTCTGCCCCCTTTCCATGCCTCCTGGCAGCACCCGTGAAATGCGCATGCACGTGCTGTGTGGGCTCGCTCCCTTCCCTGCTCCTTTGTTCTGAAAGGGCTCTTGGTAGAAAACGCTGTGCAGTTCACCGAGAAAGAGAAGTGATGGGATGGCGCACAGGCGGTTGGCAGATAAGCCTAGCTTGGCTCCTCCTGTAGGAACTGGGGTCAAGAGCATGGCTGTCCTGTGGTAAGAGGATCGGGCCCTTCCTTCTTGCCCTCGTCAGAGGTACACTTAGCCATCAGCAGATACAATAGATTATAAGCCCACCCTATAACAAAGGAGCTCCTTCCTCACCCCTAAGCAAGGTGCTTCCCTTATTTGCCCCCATCCTCAGTTCCTCTTCTCCATCACTGTGCCTTCTCTTTGTCCCTACGGGCTTTAGTCACAAGAAACCTCCAGCTCCACCTGTGCTCCCCCAGCTCTTATGTAAATAATTTTCATAGTAAATATGTCTGTCTCCCTATCAGAGTGCTCTATAAAGACGGTTTGTGTCTGTCTCCCCTTCTGGATTTCTTCTTTCTCCTTTCCCAATAGGCAGATTAGGACTTGGACCACAGGATCATGGGGCCTTGGCTGGAGGGCTAGCTATCTATTACTCATCTCCCTGACGGTGGGCTGCCCTTCCTCTGTTCTAGATTCTCATTGTGGAATTTGGGGGTAAACCTTTCAGTTGTACGAGTCTCACCCTGTCCCAGTGGTTTTGGTGTCTCTTCATTGGCATTGGAGAACTGCTGTGGGGCCAGGTGAGTACTGGTCCACCCTCCCTCTGCCCACCATCTTCTTCTTTCCTCCTCACCCTCAAGTTTTCAAGTTCTTTCCATCTTGTAGAATCTCAGGGTGGAGTGATCGGTACCACCACTTCAGAGGCTTTGGATCTCTTCTCTAACCATGCCTGGAGGCAGGCAAATTCCTTAGCTTCTCTGAGATGGTAGTGGAAATTTTCAATGGAATTTTGCTTAAAAAAAAAAAAAGTAAGGGTCTTAGCAGTAGAAGAGTTTGTTCTAGTGAAGCTGTAGTCTGGCTCTGGATGCTGTGTTGACTTAGTTTAAGGCCCCTCCAGCTCTTGGGTTTCTCATCATGGCCTATCTGGGTTGAATGCCTGACTCTCACCTAAAATATATCCAGACTCACCAGGCCTCTAGAGAAGCAGCGGAGCAGACAGCTCAGAGCATGGACTGGGATCCGCCACCTGGGTGTGAATCTCAGCTCTCCTTTATACAAGTTGAACCTTGAGCACATACCTTAACCATTCTGTGCCTCAGATTCCTCAGCTTAGGATAACAGGGTCATTGCTAATTGTTGTTAATCAAAAACTCAGTTACTACACAGAAATGACTTAGAAATGTCCAATACCCTATAAGCACTCAATAAATGTTAGCTGTTAATAGTATGATAATATCATCAGGTCTAGTGAGAGTTCTATTCCCTTCCCCCAATACAACTTTGTAGGTCTCCTTCATGCTCAGCTCTGGCCCGGGCTGTCCCTTTTCTCTGCAGACTCCAGCCACCTGGGTAATGGAGGCTTTGCTCTAACTGGCTCCAGAAATTCCTCCCCAGGGCTGCTGGCCTTTCCCCAGAGAAATGATAGTTGTTTCTTTCATACCTCCTAATGCCTCCCTAATTAAGCCCCATCGTTTACCAGTAAATCCCTAAAGCAGCTTATACTCGGGCAAAGCCCAATTGTTTCACCTACTGTTTGAGACTCATCTGAGTCTAGTCCCACAAGTGACTTTGTGGACTTGATGCCAGATAACAGTCATCCTTCCAACATCTGAAAGCAGAACTTTGACAATCATCCTTCCAACATCCGAAAGCAGAACTATTTCAAAACACTCAGGTCCATGTTGCACTGCCCACACAATCCCTCTTTCCCATCTGAGCCCTGTCTATTGCCCCTCTTGTTTGTAAAGGAGAACTGATCGACAGGTACTGAGCTCACCAAATGATTTATTTTGAATTGCAAACCCAACCTATTGCTCCGTGATTTTTGCTAATACTCATATGTCCCTTCTTCGATGGCCTGTCCCACCTACTTCTTTACCCCAAGCCCAAGGGGATTTTTAGTGTCCTTTCACTATAGTTTTATAACACAGGAATTACTTTGCATGTGGTAACTAAGAAGAGGCTCATTCTTTCCCAACACTCTCTCTACTCCTTACTCATACACATAATGTGACCATCCTGTCCCCAGACTTGTTTTCCCCCACATCCTGGTATCTGTCCCTTCCTACTATGTACCATGCATCATAGTTCTGCTTCTCTGGAAAGACACAGGGCAAAATGGAAAGGAAGAGCTGAGACAGAAGGAAGACAATGAAGTATATAACTAGGCAGATGGCTGGTCAAATTCTAGAATATAAGTTCTCCTTTGGATATCCACAAATACAGAAAACCTTCCTGAGGTCCTACAGCTGGTAGGTACTTGGTGAATGCTGCTCAAATGGACTGGTTCTTCTCCTGCTGTTATCCCAGTGGGAAGGGTAACAGGGCAAAGAGTAACCTCCCCAAGGGCCTGACCCGTATAAGTTGAGTGACAGCTGTTCTCACCCTGCCTCTGGTGTCTCCCCTTTTGCTGCTGCACCTGTTCTCAGATAATCTCCACGATACCTACCCAATCCCTGAAGTTCCTAAAGGAGGCTGGGCATGGCACCACCAAAGAGGAGATCACCAAGGATGCAGAGGGCCTGGACGAGATTGACCATGCAGAGATGGAGCTGCGCCGGGGCCAGATCCTGTGGTTCCGGGGCCTGAACCGTATTCAGACTCAGGTACTCTGATAGCGGCCTAGCCGTACCCTGGGGGAAGAAATCTCCCATCTTGGGAGGTTTTGGGAGGGCAGCAGTTCTTGGTCACCAATATCTCTTCTCTTCCAAGGCCTACTACTGGTGGGCAACCCTAGCTCCCTAGCTTCAGGGCAGATAGGGGCAGAGGGAGCTGCATGAGTACACCTGAGAGGAAAGTAGTCATAGGGTCTAGAGCAGGGACACCAACTGTTAGCATAGTCCTTTAGCTTTGGGTTGGTTCTAAAGCCCATTTTTCCAACCTCCATCAACTTCCTGCATGAGACCTTGTACTAGACCTAAATCAGGGTGGGAAAAGTTCAGAGTCTTCCCCTACCCTTCAGAAGGAAGAAGTTAGACAATATCTCTATGCCAGCAGCCTCACCAGACACTTAACATATGTACATCCTCAAGCTGCTGTTAGAGTGAGTAATGTAGATGTTACCTGGAAGGATCTTTATAAAAGAAACTCACCCTCTTATATCTTCCCCACTTGAAATTTAAGGCCATGGTGGGGAATCTGATGGCTAAGTATGTATAAATGGCAATAGTCTTTCAATGCCTGAGTATCTTTTGCAGGATTCAGACTTGCTTCCACAAAAGGAATAAGCTATAATTTCTTCATATTTTTCCTTTCTTGCAATTCCTGAAATGGGAGAGAAGCTGCTCCTAATGCTCTTAAGTCCCCTGCCTATAGCCCTACAGAAACTTTTTTTCCCCTATTTTCCATGCAACTCTAATTACCTTCTCCTGGGTGAATGGGCTGGTCTACGTATTGATAATCCTATCACTTTCCCCACTCTTGCCCCAATATACCTCTATTGTGTTAGTCCTGAGAGTTCGCATCTCAAGAAACTAAATCCCAAAATCTCAAGGGTGCTCTCCTGAGAACAGACCTATTCCACTCTACTGAAGATCCTGGAAAGAAGCTTTACTCTCTAAAATTAGCCTTGTAGATGTTTAGAAAGTTCCCTAGTCAAGCCCACCTCCTCTCCTTAGTGTGTGGAAAAGAGGTGCAGTGAATATTCTAAACTAAATACCTGCTGGGAACTTGTCTCCCATAGGCAAGACAACAGGTGGAGTGGGAAAGGGGCCAGGGAGGGAACACTGGGACTCCTTTCCTTTCTCTCGAGTCCCTCCTCCCAGAGAGGGAAATCCCCACAGGACCTGTACATACTCTAAGGATACCCAGAGTTCCCACTCCCGCCCCGCCCCGTCTCCAGGCTGCTGAGCCCATCCTGCAATAGCCTCATGTGCCCAGAGAACCTGGTGACTTTGGCTCCTGTCACTGAGGCCCCAGTGCTTTCCTTTAGGTCTGCTCTCTGCAAAATAACTTGTCTGCTTTTCTTTCCTTCAGGATCCTCTGCCTCCCTTTCTACTATGTCATTTCTTTCCCAGCCAGGATTCCCTCATTCTACTGTCTCCTGGCTCCCTGAGACCTGAGATTCATGTATCTTCCTTCCCTCTTCCACTACCGATTTCCAGTCCCTCAGCTGTATATCTTTCTGTTTAGTTTAACTACCTACATAACTTTAGGAATCCTGCTTTTCCCTATTGGAATATGAGGTAGTTGGGCCAGAATGACATTAAAGCCTGAACTTCAGCAGCAAAGGCTACCTGTTAAAGATGCCGCTATGACCAAATCCATGCCATTGCAGCATGCACCTGCCTCTGTAAGCAGATGAGGCCAGCTGTGTCATCCTGCACTGGACACCTGAAGCTCTCTCCTGACACAACTCTTCAGCCTTAGCAGGGCTCTAATCAAATCCCCACCATCTGATTGTTGCTCTTTGTTGTCATTCTCATTGTAAAACTTAGGGGTGGGAGGTGTTGCCAAGCTATTGTCCTGCCCTGGTTTCTTTAGTTTAGGGAGACGTAAATGCACTAGAAAGCAAAAGTTTAGCTTTGGGTTGGAAACAAGGGCTAGAATCTTAGGAAGGTAAACTTGGAATCTAATTTCATTATGGAGGTTGGGACCATGTAACCCTAATAAGCACTGAGGAAGATGTCTCTACAGCCCTTTCTTCCATGTAGCTGAACCCTCCCCACATGGAAACCCTTTCCTCCCACAGGATGAGGCTCCTCCATCCCCTGGAACTGAAAACTGTATAATGTGATGAAGGGGTGGTGTTTTAGCTCAGAATCCAGAAACTAGCCTTACATTTTATGGCTTCTCAGGAAGCTTTGCAAGATGTCTGACTCACAAGGTGTCTGCTTTCTCACCTTCTCTCCTGGGAACTAAAGTCAGATGAGTGGAATCAGTACTTTTCCTGCATTCCTGGGAGATTGGCCCTTGGTATTAAGCATGTGGGCATTTTTAAGGTGATTCTACCAGATTCTGAAGAATAAAGGAATCACTTTTGATTTGTTCCTTGTTACTTAGGATGGTAGATTTGACCTTGGCCCCAGAACTAGACCATTATTGGAAAACAAATGGCATGAATTGCCTCTGTCTCAGAGAGATAAGACCCTGGAGACCAGAGACCACTGTATAGGGCTAGACCTGCAGCTGCTCGCCACCCACCAACTACTAACGCTCTTTCTGCTGCTCCCTCAGTCTAAATGCTGAGTTATTGTCAGCATTTCTGCCAGACATTCCTGACACTACAGCTAGTAACATTCTTCCTAAAGAGCCTGGCCATTGGATACCTGAGCTCCATTCTTGAGCCCTGTCCACTTCAGCCCAAGGAATGGGTGTCTCAAAGAAGAAACCCAGAAGAGGACGAGCCCAACAACCTGTGGTCACCTGCGTATGGGCTACTACATGCCTCTGTTTTTTCTATAAACACATGAGTTATTTTCCTGAAAAATCTATAAAAATAGATATTCAATTTAGTTGATTTAGAAGAGACTGGCTCTGGCTGGATATTTGGACTCCAGGTCAAACTGTTCCTTAAATGAAGTGTGATGTGGAATTGATATGTTTCCCCTTCTCCTCACCATTGTTTCGTGTGTGAGGGAATCTCTCTCTGGCTTTCTGTCTCCTGTCCCCTTTGCCCAGCTCCTTCCATCCCCCTTCCCTAACCCTCCAGAGCCCTCCCTTCCTCTTTCTTCACCTCTTTCTGACTGTGGAGCAAAGCTGTTTCACTCTCTGATTCTTTGCAGATCGACGTAATTAACACATTCCAGACGGGAGCCTCTTTTAAGGGAGTCCTAAAGCGACCGACCATGGGTCAACATCTTGATGTAAAACATGTTCCTAGCTCATCCTATGTAACAGTTGCTCCAGTCAAATCTCCCCCCACCACTTCTGTTGCTGCTGCTGTTTCATCTCCTACTCTGGGCAGTGAGTGATAGTCTATTATGATGCATGATTTGCTAAAATGACCACAAGAGAGCACGTGGCATCCACTTTCACCAACTGTGGTTATCTTCCTTTTGGTTTTCCCTTTGATCTTTGACTTAAGGGAAGAAAAATGGGACCAAAATCCCATTCCCAAACCAGGTTGTTTGCCCTTTTATTTTACTTACTTATCTATTATTTATTTATTTATTTACTTACTTACTTATTTATGTATTTTTAATTTTGAAAAACTATAAAACTGTAAGTAACCATTTTAAAGACAACAGTCATGTTTTCTGATTGTTCTTCTGCATTGCTTGTTTCTTCCTTGAGTTTTTTGTCTTGCTTTACTTTATGTTTTTGTTTTTGTTTTCTGCTTCGTTTGTATATGTTGTTGTTATTCCTCTCCTCTCCTACCCTGAGTCTAAACTCTATCCTCTAAGGTTAGATGTAATGTTAGTCCGAGTGAAAACCCTGGAACTTTCTTCATTGGGGGGCAAGTTTGAGATCTCCTGAGAAAAAGTATGAAGGGAGCTATTGTTCCCATTAGTTTTTTACCAGTAGATTTGTCATAATTGAGCCAATATTAAAGTTAGACACTAATAATGCTTTTTTTGGCTACCACGCTATTATTAGCTGGCAGTACTGGCATAAAAGTTATAGCTGAATGTGAAGAAACGAAGGTGTTCAGTTCGAACGCACAGGGCTGGGCAGCCCCATTATTTTACTTTTCAGGGACTTTAAACCAAATTCTGGTTTAAGAATCAATTAATTCACATCTGGATAGAATTATATGAAAAGGTCAAAATAACTTATTTTTCTTCAGCAGTTAAACTTTTTTTTAAAGGAATTTCTGAAGAGCAACCTTTTTTTTTTTCTTCTCCTTTTCTCTAGGAATAGAATAGAAAAATAGAAGCAGGAAGTTTGAAAATCATTCTCACCTATAGCAAGCCCTTCATATCTTATTTTGCACATAAACTTTTAGGAACTCCCTCCTCAGCCAGCCTGTTTATTGGAATGCTGTCCACACTCAACCCAAGATCTGGTGTTCTCATTGGTAGATTGCCGAATTCTTGCTAATGCTTATGCCTTCGTATTCCTGGTCATTTTACCATCCCTAAATGGGACACAGAGAGGAGAGAGAAGTCAGTTTGCTGATAGTGCTATTACAGTATTTGGTAGGAAAGGAGTCTCTCTGTAGTAAGTATATCGTGGGCTTCAAATATCTAAGTGTTTGTCTCTCCCTTCCTCCTAACCCCCTCTCCAACCCTGGGATGGGAGGGTGAAGAAAGAACAGTTGCCCTATCTGTGGTTCGCATGATTGTAAACTATGTAGGTTGACCAGACTTAGATTATTTGTTGTCTTTTCAACCAACTATAGTGTTCTCATGTGAGGTATGGGGGTGGGGTAGAGTTTTATATAGATACATATTTCATCAGGCCCAAAGGCAGTCAAAGAGCTAAATAAGTCTTACCCTGAAAATATCTCAGAGCCTCTCGCTCTAATCCCCCAATATTCCTCTCATATTTCCATTTTACTCTGGTTTTGCCATGTCCTTCTAACTAGTTTTTGTTCTTTTTAAATCATGCCTCTCTTTCAGGAAGGGTTAGTGTGAGGTATCCCAGCAATTTGAAGGTAGAAGGAGACTAAGCAGAAGACAGAGCCTATTAGGCTCTCGTAGAGCTGCCAGTAGAGAGTATGCTACAAACCATCAAAAACTAGACAGTGATGAGGGACAGTCAACACCTGCTCTTTCCGCAGCGGTGCCTTCTTCCTTGGAGGTCCTAGAAGTTATAGTCATGCATTTTAAAACCCCCTTTCCCATTCTAGATCTCCAAATCAATTCAGTTATTTACCTAACCTTCGATATAGATAAATCTCTTAAGCTTTTCCTCTATAAGAAGGCCTTAATCTCTTCTCTTCCCCTGGTTTCTGAAAAGGGAGCAGAACACTATAGAATACCAACTGAGGAGATGGAGTCTTCACCTACCCATTGAGTAAGCTCCAGAGAGTGGCCCCGATCACTCACACCTAACCTAAGGTCTAGCTTGGTTAGGGCTCCTGAGTCATAAGAAAGAGTTGTCCTTTAAACAGCCATTTTACCTGTAGGACAAAAGCCACAGAAGAGACATTTCCCAGAGGTTTTGAGAGATGACCAGGAAAAGAAGGGTTGATTGGCTGAGTTGGAAAGTGCCTACAGCTTTCACAGCACTCACTTCACCGGCTATGTCTTGTTCTCCATACGCTGCTCACATACCAGGCAGCATGCATCAGGAAGGGAAGATGCCACCACTTGGGATGAATTGATGATGGTGTATCTGTGTGATTGTTCATCAGCATGTGTTACATATTCTCTGAGGCCAGTGTTGGAGTTGAGGAGCATTCTGGCACAGCCCCATGCCCTCTACCCCCTCACCCTTCTCTCTACCCACCAGGCCACCAGATGGTCCTACCTAGCTCTCTGACTCTTCTTCATTTGAGCTTCCCTTGCAGGTGCCTGGTTTCCCTTTAGATTCCAGAAGTCCCGCAGTCTAACCGGATGACTGTTCTTTACTCCCCTAAAGAAGAAATCTTCCTATTTTTTCCATCTGTCCATCCCCGATTCACTCTTATCTCCCTTATTGTTTACCTGTAACAGTGTTATGATCGCCCCAACAGGTGAGAGGAAAAACCAGCAAACAGGGCTCCAGACCCTCACTCCAACCCCGATTTTTAAAAATCTGTTTTCTACATCGGACTTCACATATAATTATTTTAAGAAAGTATTCAATTGCTTAAAAAAATAGAAGCAGGAACTTTGAAAATCACTGATTTCAAAGATGATCAACTGGTGGTATAAAGGTACACGTTCTCCTGTAGTACTTGTTAGAAATTTTGAGATCTCAAGAGCAGGTGAAAAGTATGGGCTTTGTTATCATTCATGCAGGGAATGGGTATGGCTTTGAACCCATCTCTTGACCAGGGCCAAAGGAGAAGGCGCTGAGTTTGGGTTTACTTAAACCAAGTTGCCTTGCTCTAAGTTTGATGTAGATCAATTAAAATTTGGAACCTCCCAAAGATCCGGTGGAGCCTCTGTTCCATCTGATCTCACCTAGATCTGGAGCAAAGAGAACATGACAGATAAAATTCACCCATCAGATGTTAATAGGAATCACAGAAGGATGGAAAAGTAGATCCTTACTTTCTGTTCAGCCTGGTGAATATGAGCCCAGGTTTCTTGATTCTTCTTGGCCGAGGTGTTGAGCTGATTCTATTGAGTGGCAAAGAGTCCTTTACCTTCTAAGCTCTGAGTACGCTCAGTCCTGGATGGATCTGCCAGGCTGTTATAAATTGCGGCAAGATAAGGAAAGCCTTAGCCAGCAGAGATGCAACTTGAGTGAACCTTCTTTGCATATTATTTCTGAAGGTTCTGTATAGTGTGATAGGAAGCACTGGGACAGGCTACCTAACCAGTTTATTTGCCAGACTCTTTGTGTGCTCTGCTGTCTCACTCTTGCCTCTTCTCCAGGAACTTATTCCTTGCTTAACCAACAGAGGAATGAAAGAGATGCCCTACCTCAACATTCATCATTCTCCCTTTTTCCCTCCCCACCTCAGTAGTTTCTTTTGTGTTACTCTCATTTCTTTAATGAGGGAAGAATTTTTTAACAAGACTGCGATCAGCCACCTCCAACCACAAAAATCCTAAAGTGCTTCTTTTTCCCCTGGCATCTCCAGCCTCTCGGGATCCAGCCTCACCCCTCACCCCACCTCAATCCTACTGGCACAGTTTCTAAACTAACCCTCAGAGAGGCCTGCAGTTCAGAAAAGTAGACTGCCAAAGAGCAGGTGCCTCTGGATAAAGCAAAGGCTGGTGACAGGGATCAACTATGGTCAGTTTTTTTCCCTTTCTCCAAATTGATTGAATCCCTCCTTTTTTGTGAAGTAGAACCAAGTCTTTAACACTTACAGGGCAATGCATTTCCTTTTGCCCAATAAAACTACAAATTGTTCCCTTTCCTCCATCTACTTCATCTACCCCAATAGAAAAGTCACTTGTTTGTAACCCTGCCCCCTGGATTGGGTGGTTTCTCTCCTGGTCCCATCCTTTCCCTTCTCCACATAAGATCATGCTTCTTTTCACAACTGCAAAACAGCTGGAGAAAACGGCATGACTGAGTGCAGTTGCCAAGTATCAGAGACAAGGACATGCATTTGAGTTGTGAGAGCCAAATCTTCTCTCAGTAGTCAGGAGGAGGGCATCTTTTGATACCTTTGATACCTGTATTTCATCTATGTCTTCCAGTAGAGAGACGGAAGGGGACAGTGTGGAGGTTGTGGGATATAAATATATACACGTTTCCTAATGAAAGCAGTTTTTCAATTGGAGATTATTAATTTTAATTTCTTGCATGCTGCTGACACAAATGAAGATGGGTTTGTCTGCCTTGCTGCACTGCGTTCACGGTCACTTATCACCCAAACTGTATTGTGTGCGGATTGGTATGTGTTTGGCTCTTCGAGGGTTTTAAACAGAACTAAACTTCGATGTGTAATTTTTCCATTCCACATTCGCAAAATGTTTGGCCTCGACACAGAAATCCACATGTCTGAATCATCTTTTAAATTTGGCTGTTAATTTGCACCTAGTTCCAGTGTCCTTGCCCTCCATTCAGAAGAACTAATGAATCTTTTTGTTTTCTGTTTCATTTTAAGAGTGGATTGTTTGGGAATGCTAACTTTGCTTTGGGTTTTCTACTTTTTTAAATTCAGCTTCCAAACATCCTAGTTGTTTGCCATTACTCACCCCACCCCACCCCAATGCTTGAAATTTGAGCCATGTAAATGTTTTTAGTATTCCATGATCTCTTCTTCTATGTGTGGTTTTTGTTGTTGATCAGTAATGTTTTATTGTGTAGGTTTTGTTTCTCTCCTCAAATCACCAGTTTTTTGTTTTACTGGCCAATTCTCATCTCTGTATTTTCTCATCCTTCTTTTCCTTCCCCTGATATAGATCAAAGTAGTCAAAGCATTCCATAGTTCCCTCCATGAAAGCATCCAGAAACCCAAGAACCAAAATTCCATCCACAACTTCATGACCCACCCTGAATTCGCCATAGATGAGGAGGTGCCACGAACACCACTCCTGGATGAGCAAGAGGAGGAAAATCTTGAAAAGGTTTCTACGTCTGGGACTAGGGTGCTGCTGTTGGATGGTGACGTCACTCCGTACGCCAACAAAAACAACAATGCGATGTGTTGCAGCCAGGTGCAAATTGTTGCCTCCCACCCGGACAGCCCTCTGCACAGCCTGGAGACATCAGTTTGAACTTC